ACCACAGTTCAAATCCCAGACTTGGCGGCTCTCACTTTCTCCTCCTCTCACTCTCTCTCTCTCTCTGCCTCTTTGGTCAAATTAAAAAACAAATAATAATAACAAAATTAAAGAAATGATTTTTTAAAAAAAGAATTATTTTATTTAATTTTATTTAATTTGACCAGAGAGGGACAGAGTGGGGAGGGGGGGTTGAGAAAGCAAATCAAACCGTTGTCGACCATGGGGAGTCTAGCCCCCTTAGCTACCATGCCACCTGTTGCTCCTCCCCCTCCATGGTGTTAAAGCCACCGGCTCTGGGACTTGAAGGAGCCCAGCGACGTAACCACTACGCCACCTGCCAGCCCCAGCTGGGTCTTTGGCCTGTGCGGTCGTAATGATGGGAAAGCGGAATGGATTGCCTGTCCGTCCACTCCGTTCCCTCTTCTCCCTCCCCTGGGGTACTGACCACTCTGGGCTGAGTCCCTATGGGGGTACTGACGAGCCAAGACTGACTGCTAGCCCTGGGACAAACTGCCCAGCCTCCCTGCCGCTTGTATTTTTGCTGGGAGGCAGAATAATCTCTACCTTACTAGAGACTGAAGGGTTCAGGTGACTGGCACCCACCGAACTTGGTCCTTCGAACAAGGAGGCTTGACAAGCTCAGCGAGGTAGAGTGAGCTGCCCGAGGTCACACAGCAAGAGTCCTTGCCTGCCCTCTGAGTCTCCCCACCCGCGCGGGTCTTCTGCGCAGGTGTGTGGAGATGCTGATCAAGGAGCAGATGAGGCGGTACAAGGTGAAGATGGAGGAGATCAACCAGCTGGAGGCCGCGGAGAGCATCGCCTTCCGCCGGCTGTCCCTGCTGCGGCAAAGCACTGGGAGCGCCCAGGGGGCGGGGCAGAGGGGGCGGGGCTCTGTGTGGGCCGGGCTTGAGTGTGTGGTAGGGGTTTGGGATGGAGGAGCTGGTCGTGGGCGGGATTTGTGGGGCGGCGCTTGGAAGTGGGTGGGGCTTTCATGTAGGGGGGGCTGCTCCCGCAGGTCTGGGCGGTGGGCGGGGCCTCAGGTGGCAGGGGCGGGGCTAGGGCTGCAGGATGTGCTCTGGGGGGTGGGCAGGGAGCTGCACTGATAGAGCAGATCAAAAACCCCTGTCCTGGCTCAGCCTCACAGTAATTGTTCCTTTTGAGGTGCTTGTAAGGGACCTGTCACTCATGTCATTTCCAAGGGGAAATGTTCCCATAGCAGGAGAAGCCCCCCACAGTGGGTCTAGGGGTCTGGGGCACACTGGCCAGTTCAGACTCCTTTGGGATCCAGAGGCCCCTAGTCTCATGGCCGTGACTGACCCCAGTGTGTCACACTCGGCCAAGTGGTCACCCGGTGTCATCTCTTCCCCCAGCCATGGCCTTTCAAACTGGGGTTCTCGTCTCCCTATGAGGGGGTCCTGGTATGTACGCATCAGGTGGTCCCTGGTGCAGTTTCGCGGTGCAGTGCATGCTGGGATTCCTGGCCCCCCAGGGTTTGTAGACTAGACCAATCTCGTCCTAACCTTCGAAAATGCATGTGGGGGGGCGCCTTCCTGCCGTGGACACCTAATCACCACGCGCCAGCCACCCTGTCCTCTTTCCCCGAGGGCTTCCTGGAGGAGGCTTCCTAGCGATCTGGTGCATGCACATCACGACTAACCTCCCCAGAGCTGCTCACATCTGACCCAGAGCACTAATCCTCCCACCCTCAAGGCCCCTGCTCACACCTGCTGGTGCTCCATTTCAGAATAAGAGCCCCAAGGCCCGAGGGAGCCAGGACAGCGGCCCGGAGGAGCTGGAGGTGCTGCCGGAAGAGGAGGCTGCCGGCGGCGACGAGGACCGGGAAAAGGAGATCCTTATTGAGCGGATCCAGTCCATCAAAGAAGAAAAGCAAGTGTCCCTCTGTCCCTTTCTCTCCCTCTACCATCACATGTCCAGCTTCATGGGCAGCAGGGGTGTGGCCGGCAGGGGTTTGACTGGCAGGTGCAGGCTCCAGCGGTCCGCTTGGCCTCGCAGGGCCTGCTCTCGCCAGCAGGGGGCAGACAGTACCTCCTGGGACTCTGGGAGCACGTTCTGTTTAAACTCCATGCTTGAGACAGTCCACGTGGAGGTTAAGGCGGCCAGATCCCACATAGCCAACTGTCCGGTTCAAGTCCCTGATCCGGCAGCTTGAAAATGGTGCATGGGCACCCCAAAATCCCTAGAGAGAGTGGAGGAGGAGGGCTGATGGTATAGCATTTCCCCCAGAGGGGTGCTTTATCTGTGTCCCTCCCTCTCTGCCTCTTTTTCTGGTGAGCCCATGTGCCCTATAGAAAAGAAAATTTTCCCTTAAGAATTAATTTATTTAATTTTATTTATTGTTTCTTAAAAGAATTGTTTATTTGGGACCAGCAGTTAGTGTAATGGCTATGTCGCTGGACTCCCATGTAGTCGACCACTGTTCAAGTCCCGGACCCAGTGGCTTAAACTCACGCCGGGTGCCTGTGCGTGCGTGCGTGCCCAAGATCCCGAGAGGAGAATGGAGGAGAAGGGATTGCGGCGTGGCCATCCCCCCTGGGGGGTGATTTTTCGCTTTCTGTCTCTCTGTCTCTCTCTGTCTGGTGAGCTCACACGCCCTATAGCGAAAACCTCTCAGAGAAAGAAAGAAAGAAAGGAAGGAAGAAAAAAAGAAAATTAAATGAAATAATTTATTTTAAAAAGATAGAAAGATTAAACCCCATTGCTTGATTATAGAGGACCACATTTCACAGGGAGAGAAGGGTTGACTGAGAGGCAAGAGGCAAGCCACCAAATGTTATTTATGCGCTTACATATTTAGGAGAGGTTTTTGCTATAGGGCGCGTGCGCTCGCCAGAAAGACAGAGACAGAGAGACAGAAAGCGAGAAATCACCCCCCAGGGGAGATGGCCACACCGCAATCCCTTCTCCATTCTCCTCTCAGGGTCTTGGGCACGCACGCACATGCGCCTGGCGTGAGGTTAAGCCACCGGGTCCGGGACTCGAACCACGGTCGACTACCTGGGAGTCCAGCGACATAGCGCCGCCAATATTATTTTAACAGTGGTTTTAAGTAGAGTGCCAGTCTCATTGTCCAATCCAGGAGTGTGAGAGCGCTATTAAATAATAGTGCCCTGGCCAGTAGGTGGCGTGGTGGTTAAGGAGCTATAGTCCCACGTGTCCGACCACAGTTCGAGTCTCAGATCTGGTGGCTTGCTTGTCTCTCTTTCCTTTTCTCTCACTCATTCTGGTTAAGTTAAAATAAATAAATAAAGTTAATTGTTTATTATCATTATTTTTTAATTTGATCAGAGAGAGAGAGAGACAGAGAGAGAGGGAGAGGAAACGTGAGAAAGCAAACTGCCGGGTCTGGGACTCGAACTGCAGTCAGTCGTGTGAGAGTCCAACTCCCTCAACCACCATGCCACCAGCTAGCCCCAGTTTTGTTTGTTTGTTTTTTAGGAGAGAGTTTTATATTTTTTTTTAATTTTTTTTCTCTCTTTTTTTGGAGAGGTTTTCGCTATAGGACACGTGCACTCGCCAGACAGACAGAGAGAGAGACAGAGAGACAGAAAGCGAGAAATCACTCCCCAGGGGGGGATGGCCACACCACAATCCCTTCTCCTCCATTCTCCTCTCGGGATCTTGGGCACGCACGCACTCGCGCCCAGCATGAGTTTTAAGCCACCGGATCCGGGACTCGAACCGCGGTCGACTACGTGGAAGTCCAGCGACATAGCCATGACTCTAACTGCTGGTTCCCTATGGGGTGTGGGTTTTCACCGTGGGAGTGGCCCTGGACACCGTGACCTCTCCCCCGCAGGGAGGACATCACCTACCGGCTGCCGGAGCTGGACACGCGGGGCTCGGACGAGGAGAACCTGGACTCGGAGACGTCGGCCAGCACCGAGAGCCTGCTGGACGAGAGTGCCGGCCGGGCGGCCCCCGAAGGTCAGTGGACGAGCGGGCCGGCCGGGCGGCCCCCGAAGGTCAGTATTAAGGTAGCGTCTGCTTTCTTCCTTCCCGTGCACCCCGGGCACGCCCCGCGGCGAGGGTCCTCCCACCGCCCCCCCGGAGCTACCCCCCCCCACCGCCCCCCGGAAGCTACAGTAACCCCGCCCTCTGTCTCTCAAAAGGGCCCCCTGCACCTGCTCTCCCTTGCCCCGCTGCGCCCACCCCGAGTCCCCTCCCCACGGTGGCCGCCCCTCCACGACGAAGACCCTCGTCCTTCATAACGCTCAGAGTGAAGACCCCCCAGCGGACCCCAATCATGCCCACGGCCAACATCAAGCTCCCGCCCGGCCTGCCCTGCCACCTGCCCGGCTGGATGCCACACGCCCCAGTGGCCACGGCCCCCGTGAGGCGTCGAGAGCCACCTGCCCGCCGCCCGGACCAGGTGCACTCCGTGTACGTCACGCCCGGGGCGCACCTGCCCGTGTTGGGTACTCTGGAGACGCTGGATGAGGACGACCGGCCCCCTGGGGCCAAGCGGAGGTACTCAGACCCCCCCAAGTACTGCCTGCCCCCCGCTTCGGGCCAGACGAACAGCTGAGGACCTGCAGCTGACAAAGTCGCGTGTTCGAGGATGGCCCCTGCAAAGGAGCTGGGGGCTGGAGCTGCGTCCCGCGCTCTGCAAAGAATCCAGAATGAAAAACGGCCAAGAGCGATTGGGACGTCGGACTCAGGGTGCCAAGTGAAGGCAGGGAGCCCGGCCTCACCGCAGTGCCCTCACGTCGCTCTGACGCCCCCCTGCCAGGAACGCAGAGCCTGGACTGGCAGGCGGGAATTTTCCTTTCCCTTTTTGTACGTTTTTACGGTAACTTTCTTTGTACGTGGTTTACATAACTTTAAACTGTAACAGCCTTAACGGATGACCAAATTGTTTTGTTTTTTTTTTATATATATACGTGTTATGTACAAATTTTTATATTAACGCTGTGTGTCTCCCTGTAACCTGGACACGGGTCGACAAAGCCACTCGGTGTCACGCATCTGAGGCTTCAACTCGAACCACAGCCAGCCCCAGGACAGTGAGCAGGACACACCACCACACAAGAGTGTTGGGCACGCAGGACCGGCAGGCCATGTAGTGGCTATGTCGCTGGACTCCCACATAGTCGACCGCGGTTCGAGTCCCAGACCCGGTGGCTTAAACTCAGGCCGGGTGCGTGTGCGTGCATGCCCAAGATCCCGAGAGGAGAATGGAGGAGAAGGGATTGCAGCGTGGCCATCCCCCCTGGGGGGTGATTCCTCGCTTTCTGTCTCTCTGTCTCTGTCTGTCTCTCTGGCACGCCCTATAGCAAAAACCTCTCCAAAAAGAAAAAAAATAAATGTGTTGGACATTCGAGGCCCTGACCACCGGGAGTCCAGCCTGGCTGAGTTGGAACTTTCCGGGAGGGATCAGGGCTATTGGTAGAGGCGGGACCTAAATCCGGGGACGCAGCTGGCATCCCTGGCATTGGAGTGAGACCAGATGTAGCCATCATCTCTCCTACGTCCTGGACACGCGGGACTGGAAGAGGACACCCAAGGCACTCCCCCACCCATGTGACAACAGAAGCCAGCTTTGCAGAACTGGTCACAGGCAGAGCGGGGGAGGTCTCCCGGAAGTCGTGCATTCCTACAGAGTAGGCGTGGCCCCAGACGCTCCAGGGAGGAGCTTTCTGCTCAGGCTCCGCCTACTCCACAGACACCTGGAACCCTCAGCCAGAGGTCTCGGACAATGGCCGCCCGCACGGATTGTCAAATAAAAAAGTGCCTGAAAAGTATTCCTTTTCTTTTTCCTTTTCTTTTTCTTTTTTTGTTTTATTGCCAGAGGGCACCTGCTTAAGTGAGAGACACAGAGATGGTCCGGCCCACAGCCTACTGGTTTAAAGGAGCTAGATCACTCATGGGTGACCATGGTTCGAATCCTGGCCCAGGCAGCTTGATAAACTGTCTCTGGCAAGCGCATACACTCTCTGAGAATTAAAATTTACAGGGAACCAGCAGTTAGCGTAATGGGTGTGTCGCTGGACTCCCACGTAGTCGACTGCGGTTCGCGTCCTGGACCCGGTGGCTTAAAACTCACGCCGGGCGCGTGTGCATGCGTGCCCAAGATCCCGAGAGGAGAATGGAGGAGAAGGGATTGCAGCGTGACCTTCCCCCCTGGGGGGTGATTTCTCACTTTCTGTCTCTCTGTCTCTCTCTGTCTGGCGAACGCACGCACCCTATAGTGAAAACCTCTCCAAAAAAAATTAAAATTAAAAAAAAAAAAGGGGAGGGGGAGGTTGGCAGGTGGCGTGGTGGTTAAGGGTACTGGACTCCCACATGGCTGACTGCACTTTGAGTCCTGAACCTGGCAGCTTGCTTTCTGTCTCTCTCTGTCCCTCTCTGATCAAATTAAATATGTAAATGAAGTTAAATAAAAGAATTCTTTAAAAAAAAATTTTTTTAATGGGACCAGCAGGTAGCATAGTGGTTAAGGCACTGGACTCCCACATGACTGACTGCAGTTCAAATCCTGGACCTGGTGACTTGCTTTCTTGCTTTCTTTCTCTCTGTCTCTCTCTCTCACTCTGTCCCTTTCTGGTCAAATTAAATACGTAAATAAAGTTATATAAAAGAATTATTTTTTAAAAAAATGGGGCCAGCAGGTGGCGTAGTGGTTAAGGCACTGGACTCCCATGTGGCTGACCACAGTTTGAGTCCCAGACCAGGCAGCTTGAAACTCACACCAGGCATGTGTGCATGTGTGCCCAAAATCCCTAGAGGAGAATGAAGGAAAAGGGATCACAATGTGGCCATCCCCCCAAGGGTGATTTCTCACTTTGTACCTGTCTGTCTGTCTGTCTGTCTCTGTCTCTCTGGCGAGCATACACACCCTATAGCAAAGAAAATTCTCAAAAAATAGGGACCAGCAGATGGCGTAGCAATTGTCACTGGACTCCCACATGCCTGACTATGGTTCAAGTCCCAGGCCCAGTGGCTTGAAAACCATTCCTGGCACATGTGAGTGTGTGCCCCAGATCCCAGGAGAAAGGATTGTAGTTTGACCATCCCCCCAGGGGGTGATTTCTCTCTTTCTCACCGTCTCTTTCTCTCTCTGGTGAGAGCATGTGCCCTAAGGCAAAAACCTCTAAAACTAAATGGGACGGGACCAGCAAATGGCGTGGTAATTAAGGTGTTGGACACTCCACATGGCCGACCATGGTTCAAGTCCCGGACCTGGTGGCTTGCTTTCTCACTTTCCCTCTCCTCTCTCTCTCTGGTCAAATGAAAATAAATGAACAAATAAAGTTAAATAAATCATTGAAAGAAAGAAAAAGAAGGGGCCTCCAGGTGGTGTGATAGTTCCAGGACTCGGCTCCCACATGGCTGACCACAGTTCAAGTCCCAGACCTGGTGACTTGAAAAATCACACCAAGATGTGTGCGTGCCCCAATTCTCAGGAGAATGGAGGAGAGGATTGTGGTATGACCATCCCCCCAAGGGATGATTTCTCACTTTCACTCACTCCCTGTCCTTTGTCTCTCTCTGGCGAGCACTCATGCCCTGTAGTAAAAATTAAAAATAAACTGGAAAAAAAGAGAAAACACCCGTGATAGTACAGGGCTCACTGCAATCCCTTGTCCATTTCTCCATTCTATCAAGACTTAAAAACATGCGCCCAAGGGACCAGCAGTTAGCATAATGGCTTATTCGCTGGACTCCCATGTAGCCGACTGCGGTTTGAGTCCTGGACCTGGTGGCTTACTTTCTCACTTTCCTTCTCTTTCTCTCTGTGTCTTTCTCTGATCAAATCAAAATAAAATGAATGAATGAATAAAAGTAAATTTTAGGGAACAAGCAGTTAGCGTAATGGCTATGTCGCTGGACTCCCACATAGTAGACCACGGTTCGCATCCCGGACCCGGTGGCTTAAAACTCACGCTGGGCGCATGTGCGTGCGTGCCCAAGATCCCGAGAGGAGAATGGAGGAGAAGGGATTGCGGTGTAACCATCTCCCCTGGGAGGTGATTTCTCTCTTTCTGTCTCTATGTCTCTCTCTGTCTGTCTGGCAAGCTCACGTGCCCTATAGTGAAAAACCTCTCCAAAAAAAAAAAAAAAGTAAATTTTAAAAGTTCAAATTCAAGTAAATAAATAAATGAATAAAGTTTAAAATTTTTAAATTCTTTAAAAAAATGATGACAAAAATAAAATAATTTTTAAAAATGCCTTAGAACTAAAATAATAATTTTGCTATAGGGCACCTGTGCTCACCAGAGAGACAGAAGTGAGAAATCATTGTCCCTGGTGGATAGAGGGGACGGCCACACTGCAATCCCTTCTCCTCCATTCTCTTGGGATTTGCGGTAGGCACACACATGCCCAGCCTGAGCTCCAAGCTGCCAGGTCCAGGACTGAGCCACATAGTCTGTCACGTGGGACCACCTGCTGGTCCCTCCACCCCCTTTTTAATTTTTATTTTTAGAGATCTTTTGCTATAGGGCCTGTGTGCTGCTCGCTCAAGAGACAGAGACAGAAAGCAAGAAATCACCCCCCAGGAGAGATGGCCACACTATCGCGATCCTTTCTCCTCCCGGGATTTTGGGCACACACGTACAGTCGCCTAGTGTGAGTTTCAAGCCTCCGGGTCCAGGACTCAAACTATAGTCAACCATGTCAGAGTCCAGCACCTTTAACTACTATGCTACCTGCTCTCCACCCCCTTTCAAATAATGTAGTACGTGGGAAAGAAACAGGTACCCCCTAACAAGGTCTTCACATTGTGAGCGCCCCCCAGTTTCAGCCATCCCCTATCCCTGGCTAGTGCACACGTCCGGGGCGTACTGGGAAGGCTGGAGACGCAACGTCAGGGGCCTCCCAGGAGAATCCCAGCCTGGTGTTCTGCCCCATCAGCCTCTAGAGGCCCTTTGAGGAGACCTGGATTTGACCTCTATGGTGTTTTAGTAAGATGCCAGCCCCACAGGTATGACCGGGTGTCCCGACCCAGGGGACAGTCAAACAGGTTTGCCGAGGGAAGGAGTGAGAGCCGCGACAAGCAGCGCAGTGTTACAACACAGAGATGACACAGTGTCTTTCAGGGTCGTCTGTTTATTGTGGGCAGCACGGTACAGCGCGGAGACGACGTGGTGTCACAGTTCTTCAGGGTCGTCCGGAGACACGATGGAGTGTTAACAACTCTTCAGGGTCTTGTGGGTCGTCTGGCGATTGTGGGCCAGGGATGGTGGTTATATACACGTTGGCGGGCTGTGATTGGTTGTAAAAGGTGGGTTATGATTGGTTGCTTTTGGACCAATCATGAGGTGCCAGATATGCAAATCTGAGGGATTCTAGTGGCCAATCAGAGTAAGGCTTCGAAGGTCAGGTTTTATGAAGGGAACCAATTGTGGCCTTTGGCATTGTGTAACTGTTTGCTTTCTGAGAAACCAGCCATATTCCCAGCTTCCCACAACAGGGACACAGGGAAACCCGGGGGTGTGGAAGCAGTTGAGGAGCTCATGGCAGGCTGGGAACTCAGCTTCCTGGGGCCCCAGTGGGCTGGGTCTCAGGCCTGTCCATGGAGGGTGTCAGGGCTGGCTCGGCCCCTTTCTCACACCCAGGGCTAGGTTATGTCCCCTTTGAGGCAGGTACGGTCTCACTATTCATTTCCCAAAGGAGGAAACAGGGTCAGAACAGTTCAGACTTCCATGGGGCCGACAGGTTCGAGTCCCGGACTCGGTGGTTGAAAACTCACGCCGGTAAGGCATGTGTGTGTGTGTGTATGTGTGTGCCGAAAATCCCGAGAGTAGAATGGAGAAGGGATTGTGGAGTAGCCAAAACACCTGGGGAGTGATTTCTCACTGTCCGTCTCTGTCTGTCTCTCCAGCAAGTGCACACGCCTTATACCCAAAATCTCAAAAAACAAAACAAAAAAACCTTACTAAAGGCCATGTCCAAGGATGAGATCAGTCAGACTTGCCACCCCACAAAACTATAGCATAAGAATGAGGCCCGGGGAATAGCAGTTGGCGTAATGGCTATGTCGCTGGACTCCCACGTAGTCTACCGCGGTTCGAGTCCCGGACCCGGTGGCTTAAACTCACGCTGGGCGCGTGTGCGTGCATGCCCAAGATCCCGAGAGGAGAATGGAGGAGAAGGGATTGCGGCATGGCCATCCCCCCTGGGGGGTGATTTCTCGCTTTCTGTCTCTCTGTCTGGCCAGTGCACACGCCCTATAGCAAAAACCTCTCCAAAAATAAAAAGAATGAGCTCCTATGACAGCTTACAACCCAGGATGAGGAAGCTCTTGAATTCTGTTCTCAGGCTAAAGCCGATACCCCAAGAGAAATCAGGAAGGCTGCCTGGAGGTGGAAAAAGTTCAAGATTGAAGGAACCCAGGCAGGGGCGGGTGTGGGGGCAGCATTCTGAGCCTGAAGAGCATAAGCAGAGGGACGCTGCACGTGGGTCTGATGCCAGAAGGTCTGAGCTTTCCAACTCTTCCCTAACGGAAAAGAAGCAGCCAGAGGCCAGCAGGTGGCAAGTTGGTTTATGGTGGTGACTCACACACCGGGTGACCACGATTCAAGTCCAGGACCTGGCGGCTTGCTTTCTCACTTTCCCCCCGTCTCTCTTCCGCTGGTCAAATTAAAAAAAAAAAAAAAAAAACAAATACATGAATAAAATTAAATAAATAGTTCTTTAAAAAAGACTATTCAGCCTTGACTTAACTCGAACGACATGACGCCACCCCAAGAAACAAGGTTTAACTTCCGCCCCAAACAAACATGGCCGACGAAGGAAAGCAGCGCGCCTGCCGGACGGAAGCTACAGACTAGCACTTCCGCCCTTTCTTAAGATGGCGCCGGCGGAAGGGACAGGGTACGGTCCGAGAGTGATGGCGGCTTCGAGGTTGGAGCTGAACTTGGTGCGGCTGTTGTGCCGCTGCGAAGCGATGGCAGCAGAGAAACGGGACCCGGAGGAGTGGCGTCTGGAGAAGGTAAAACGATCCTGCATTGCCGTGTAGAGTCAGACTCCCGGAAGGCGGGTCGCGGTCCCGACGGCCATCCAGCTCCAATATTTATTCCCAAGAGCTGCACTGACCACGCCCCTTCCGGTCTGCGCCGTCACGTTTACCTGCAGCTCCCGCCCCCAACCTGAGGCCCCGCCCCTCTGTGTTGGCTCCGCCTCCTTTAGCTTTGGTTCCTCCCACTTGACGCCCAGCCTCTCCCTGGCCACGCCCCTAACCCTGCAACTCTGACCCCCGTGAATGGGGGACCCTGCTGATCCCCCCACTTTCCATTTCCAGTACGTGGGGGCCCTGGAGGACATGTTGCAGGCTCTGAAGGCTCAAGCGAGGTGAGTTCAGGTGGCTGCAGGGGTTTCAAAGCTAGGTGTGGGGTTCTGGGGGCATCCACCCATCCTGAGCTGGGGACAGTGGCTAGGTTTTCTTTCTCCCCTGTTTGTCTCCCAGCAAACCGACGTCCGAGGTGATCAATGAATATTCCCGCAAGGTGGAGTTTCTGAAGGGGATGCTGCAGACGGAGAAGCTGGTGAGCAGGAGGGTCTCTGTCCCATGTTCACCTGGGTCCCCAGGACCTGTGCCTTCAGTGACCCCTGTTCTCACGTTTCTGCAGACCTCCTCCTCAGAGAAAGCGCTCGCCAACCAGTTCCTGGCTCCTGGCCGCGTGCCGACCACATCCAGGGAGCGGGTGCCTGCCACGAAGACCGTGCACCTGCAGTCCCGGGCCCGGTACACCAGTGAGATGCGGAGTGAGCTACTAGGCACGGTAGGTCTCCTTGCCCAGTCCCTAGGAACTCCTTGGGCAGGGACTGGGTTCCGGTGCCTGGAGGTAACCAGGAAAGAAAGTACTCTCAGGTACAAGGACCCTAGGAGTCCTCAGGCCATCAGGCAAGGCATCTCTATAGAGGGGCATTATGGCTAGGGCTTTGCGAGGTGAATAGGAGTTCGGTACAAGGTACACATGGCATGCATCTGGTTAAACCCAGAGTTGGTCACAAAACAGATTTGGTTCCTGGCTTTGACACTTGCTGCAAGACAGATAAGCATCTTCATCTGTAAAAGCAGACGACAAGTGCCTCTTTTTTTTTTTTTTTTTTTTGAGAGATTTTCACTGTAGGGCGCGCGCGCTCGCCAGACAGACAGAGAGAGACAGAGGGACAGAAAGCGAGAAATCACCCCCCAATGGGGGATGGCCACGCCGCAATCCCTTCTCCTCCATTCTCCTCTCGGCATCTTGGGCACGCACGCACATGCGCCCGGCGTGAGTTTTAAGCCACCGGGTCCGGGACACGAACCGCGGTCGACTACATGGGAGTCCAGCGACATAGCCATTACACTAACTGCTGGTTCCCGACAAGTGCCTCTTTGAGCTTTTTTTTTTTTTTTTTTTTTTGAGAGGTTTTTGCTATAGGGCGCGTGCGCTCGCCAGACAGACAGAGACAGAGAGACAGAAAGCGAGAAATCCCCTCCCAGGGGGGATGGTCACACCGCAATCCCTTCTCCTCCATTCTCCTCTCGGGATCTTGGGCACGCACGCACACGTGCCTGGCGTGAGTTTTAAGCCACCGGGTCTGGGACGCGAACCGCGGTTGACTACGTGGGAGTCCAGTGACATAGCCATGACGCTAATTACTGGTTCCCCTCTTTGAGCTTTTGTACATAGATCAGCTCAATCCTTCAAAATATGAGCTGCTGTTATTAGCAGTTTGTTACCAGGGAAACCACAGGAGGCTCAGTGGGCACAGGAATTGTCCAGGGTCCTGACTAGGGGTAGGGAAGTTCTGAGAGTCGAAGGGACAGGACAAGGAGAGTGACCTTGTGTATCTCCGTTCTTTTCACAGGACGGGGCACGAGGTGAGTTGCTATGAATGAAATGGGACTTGAGGGTCCACCACTTGGGACAAGACATAGGTCATTGGCTGCTGCTCATCCTTTGCACCCACGCCAGATCCCGTGGAGAATGTCACCCAGCGGGAATCATCGAGTTATGCCTGGAGGTGGAGACAGGAAAGATGGGGGGGGGCCCCCAGCACAGACAGCACTGGGTACTCCCATCCCATGGGGCAAACTCCAGGCTTGAGGGAAGGGCCCGGGTCTGAGGCAGCTCAGATTAGGGTGGGGAAAGCCTACAAGAAGAGGGGGTTTTCCAGCTGGGGCTTTGAAGCATGGTTAGGAGCCCACAGGGCAGGAGACAAGACAGGGAGATGGTTTTCTAAGCTGCAGAGAGAGCACAGGTAAAAGCCCGGAGGCCGCATGAGAATCACCCCTCTCCTTCCTGCTTGGCCTGTTTCGATTTCAGATCCGGAACTGGATTTCAGAAAGAGGACGTGAGTATCTGCAGCCCTCAGGCAGCTGGGCCCTGGGGGCGGTACTGGACAGACCACGGGACCCCGAGGCACCGTGACAAGGGTGCAGACCCCCAGTCAGATAAAATGAAACTAAATCAATAAAGTTAAATAAAATAATTATTTAGGGACCAGCAGTTAGCGTAATGGCTATGTCGCTGGACTCCCACGTAGTCGACCGTGGTTCGCGTCCCAGACCCGGTGGCTTAAAACTCACGCCGGGCGCATGTGCGTGCGTGCCCAAGATCCCGAGAGGAGAATGGAGGAGAAGGGATTGCGGTGTGGCCATCCCCCCTGGGGGGGTGATTTCTCGCTTTCTGTCTCTCTGTCTCTCTCTGTCTGTCTGGCGAGCGCACACGCCCTATAGCGAAAACCTCTCCAAAAAATAAATAAATAAATAAATAATAAAATAAAATAATTATTTAAAAAAAAAAAAAAGGAACCTGGGGGCCAGCAGGTGGCATGGCGGCTGAGGACACGGATTACCCCACACACCGCAATCCCTTCTCCTCCATTCTCCTCTTGGGATCTTGGGCACGCATGCACACGCGCCTGGTGTGAGTTTAAGCCACCGGGTCCGGGACTTGAACTGTGGTCGACTACGTGGGAGTCCAGCGACATAGCCATTACGCTAACTGCTGGTCCCAACCTGGCAGCTTCTTTTTCACTCTCTCTCTTTGCCTCTCTCTGGTGAACATGCATGCCCTATAGCAAATTCAAATAATAATAATAATAATAAATACTATTGTAAATAAGTCCTTTTTTTTAAGAATTATTTATTTTTCATTTTATTTACTTACTCTTTTTTTTTTAATTTTGATCAGAGAAACACACACAGAAAGTGAGAAAGCAAACCACCAGGTCCAGGACTCGAACCGTGGTTACCCAAGTGGGAGTGACCCGCACCTTAACCACCACGCCACCTGCTGGTTCCCTAAATAAGCCTAAAATAAAAAAAGAAAAAAAGAGGGAAACTGAGCCCCCGACAGGGTGTGTCCAGAGCCACGGCCTTTAATTTCCTTGGGAACGTGTTCACCTTTTCTCCTGACGCCCTCTCTCATGCCTGCCTGTCCACCCACGTGTGTGGTCAGTGGGGTGACAGGGTCCAGGCCAGTCGACGAGAAGCAGTCCGCAGCCGAACTAGACCTCGTTCTGCAGCGACATCAGGACCTCCAGGAAAAGCTGGCCGAGGAGATGCTAGGCCTCGCCCGGAGCCTAAAGACAAACACACTGGCCGCCCAGAGCGTCATCAAGAAGGACAATCAGGTGTGAAAACTGCAGGAGCTCTCCAGCCCCCAGCTTCCGCTCTGGGGCAATGGAGACAGCTTCTTAGCGGAGGGGCATTATGGCTGGGGCTTTGCTGTTTGAATAGGAGTTTGGTGGAAGGCAAAAATGCCATTCCCAGCAGAAAGCACAGTCCTGGCAAGGGCCAAGAGGTGCAGGCCCATCCCCCAGGACAGTCGGAGAGTCTAGTCCTGTTGACACCCTCCTCACCTCATCCGCAGACCCTGTCACACTCACTCAAGATGGCCGACCAGAACCTGGAGAAGCTGAAGACAGAGTCGGAGCGGCTGGAGCAGCACACGCAGAAGTCCGTCAACTGGCTGCTCTGGGCCATGCTGATCATCGTCTGCTTCATCTTCATCAGCATGATCCTCTTCATCCGCATCATGCCCAAACTCAAATAAAGGCCGGCCCCACCCACCCATCTGTCCTTGTCTGTCCCCTGTCCCGCCCCGCGCTCAGCCATGCCCTTTGGGGCAGGCAGTGACACGGGAGGATATGTGGAGGTCACTGAGAGCCACAGAGAGCACATGAGCAGGAGAGGAAGAAGGTCGGGTGGGGGACGTGGTGATTTAGCAAATGCCCCCCACTGTCCTGTCCTGCCCACTCCACACTGGACAAGGCCAAGCGCCAAGAGGCCCCAGGAGCCCTCGAGTGGGTAGTCAGGGCCCAACACATGCTGGGAGGTCAGGGTGAGGAGGGAGGATGGGATAAAACTGAGGCCAAGCCTGGGGTTCAGCCTGGAGGAGGCATCACATGAGCTAGAAAATTCAGGGGCAGAGCTTAGCAAAGCCACAGCCTCAGCTCCCAGGAGCAAGCCAGATCCTTCATGCAGTCAGCATGGGTGAGTGGGGCTGGCCCTGGGGCGTTGTAGTTAAAGGGGACTAGATCGTATATGGCCAACTACGGGGTTCGAATCCCAGCCCTAGTGGTTTGAGGAACATGCCAGGCATGTGCGCCCCAAATCCCCACAGCATGGAGAAATGGAGGAGAAGGGATGGTGATGCAACCATGCCCCATGGGTGGTGCTTTCTCCCACTCTATCTGCCCCTGGTACACGTGTGTGCCCTCTGACAAAACACACCCGCGTGAGCACACACACACACACACACACACACACACATTAACACACAGGTGGTGCGGTGGTTAAGGAGTTGGACTCCCACATGGAGGACTGGGGTTCAAGTCCCAGACCTGGTGGCTTGAAAATCACACCAGGTGCGATAGCTTTGCACTCTTTTTTTTTTTTTTTTGGAGAGATTTTCACTGTAGGGCGCGTGCGCTCGCCAGACAGACAGAGAGAGACATAGAGACAGAAAGCGAGAAATCACCCCCCAGGGGGGATGGTCACGCCGCAATCCCTTCTCCTCCATTCTCCTCTCGGGATCTTGGGCACGCACGCACACGCGCCCGGCGTGAGTTTTAAGCCACCGGGTCCCCGGGACACGAACCGCGGTCGACTACGTGGGAGTCCAGCGACATAGCCATTACGCTAACTGCTGGTTCCCGCACTCTTTAGCATTATTTAGAATCTCAAAATAAGAATAAGTAGGTGCATGGGACCGGCAGGTGGCATGGTGGTTAAAGACGCTGGATTGCTACATGGCCAACCGCTGTTCACGTCCCGGAGCTGGTGGCTTGCTTTCTCACTTTCCCTCTCTTTTTTTCTCTGTCTCTGATCAAACTGGAAAATAGGGACCAGCAGTTAGCATAATGGCTATGTCGCTGGATTCCCATGTAGTCGACCATGGTTCGAGTCCCAAACCCGGTGCATTAAACTCATGCCGGGTGCATGTGTGCGTGCATGCCCAAGATCCAGAGAGGAGAATGGAGAAGAGATTGCGGCATGGCCATCCCCCCTGGGGGGTGACTTCTCGCTTTCTGTCTCTCTGATTTCAGAGTAAGTAAATAAGCGCAAGTTTGCAAAATCACCCCGCTTTTCAGATAAACTGAGGGTCAGAGAGGATCCGTGGCCCTCCCCAGATCCAGCAGATCTGAGTCGAAGTCGCTTTCGAATCCGCTTCTCCAGGGTCTGGAGTCCGCCCCGCCGGGCCAGGCCCCGCCCCCACAGGGCCAGACCACGCCCCTCCAGGCAGGCCACGCCCCCGCTCTGCTCAACGACCCCGCCAGTCGGGTCCAGCCTGCAGTTAATGCACAACCAGCGACTCGGCTACTTCTCCGGCTGCCGACCCAGACGTGGCAAAGTCGCTTTCGAATCCGCTTCTCCAGGGTCTGGAGTCCGCCCCGCCGGGCCAGGCCCCGCCCCCACAGGGCCAGACCACGCCCCTCCAGGCAGGCCACGCCCCCGCTCTGCTCAACGACCCCGCCAGTCGGGTCCAGCCTGCAGTTAATGCACAACCAGCGACTCGGCTACTTCTCCGGCTGCCGACCCAGACGTGGCACCCCAGACGCTGGGACAGGTGACTCCGAGAAGGACAGACCGGCGCGACCCACAGGCAGCGCGGAGGTCCCAGGGGAGGGGGACTCCTTGGGTGTGTTACCCCTGAGCTCCTCGCGTTCCAGAGCTGGAGGCTCCGGCAACGCGGGGGTTAACTCGCATCCGCCCTAGGCTGCGTGGTGACGTCACGCTTCGTTTGCATAACGTTTTTCCGTGTTACGCGTCGGGGGCGGGGTCTGGGACGCGCTGACGGCCAATCGCGTGCGTCTATGCAAATAGACACCGAGCTGGGAACCGCGCGGGGCCGCGGAGAGTTGGCCGCTCCGGGTCCGCCTCCCCGCGCGTCCTGCGAGCGCACCTGCCTCCAGGTGAGTCCCCTCCGCGTGTCCGCAGGCCGCCCGCAGACCACCCCCGCCACGCGCGGGCCGCGACGCCCCTCGCAAGGCCCGTTCACCAACCCGGGGACCCCCGAACGGCGCCTCCCGAAAGCCGATGCCCACCCAGCAGCCCCCGCAGACTCGCCGCTCCCGGGGGGACCCTCAGATCTGCCCACCTGGCCCTGGCCCCCCGGTGAGTGTGGCAGAGACCTCCGGGTTCAGGGGGTCTCGGTTTTGCAATACTCAGTTTTGCAACACCGAGGTTAACTCCCAACTATGATTTCCGCAGCGACTGGTGCCTCGAGACCTCAAAACCAGCGCCCTTCGCCCTCTGTCCCAGCCCCAGCCTGGAACCCACAAAGCAAGGCCCAGGAGGATTGTCTTTGAGGATGAACTGCTCTCCCAGACCCTTGTGCGTGCCAAGAAGCCCCTTGGAGCCATCCCCGAGGGGCATAGACCTAGGCCACCTGCAGTGCCCGACTATGAGCTGTGAGTGTCCATCCTGTGGTTGGTTTAGGGTGTTTGGAAATAGGGAAAGGGCACTGAGGCTGGGGCTTTGATGGATGAGTAGGAGTTTGACAAATACTAAAAAGAGTAAAGGAGGATTTTTTATGGTAGGGAACCCAACTTGGGCAAAGAAAAATCAAAAACACTGGGAGAAGAGACAGGGTTGTTTATACTCACAGGATGGGGTCCTTCAACATGGTAGGAAGTACCCACCTGTGAGCAGTCAGAGGGAACGGAGCCGCTATGCTGCAGTGTTCCAGGACCAGTATGGAGAGTTTTTGGAGCTCCAGCAGGAGGTGGGGTCTGCACAGGCCAAGCTCCAGCGGCTGGAGGCCCTGCTGCGGTCCTTGCCCCCACCCCGAAATCAGGTGAGAAACACCTGCCCCGAAGCCCTCCCTGGTGGCTTGAACCAAGCTTCTGGGATTACCACTGGGGCCAGATCTCTGGGACTCTTCCTCCCTAGCTGGGTTACCTTGTCCACCTGAGCCTCAGTTTCCCCATTGGTCCTTAGGTCCAACTCTCCCTGAGCCTCGTCTTCCATCTCCCCTTGCAGAAAGAAGCCAACGTTGCTGCCCGCGTCTGGAGGGAGTTTGAGAGGAAGCAGAGGGTAAGGCGGGACTCTAGGCCCAGAGCTTATCCCACGCACCCCAACGCGTCCAGGGGGCTGGGATGCTTGTGCCTGTTTCAGGGAGAAGATATAGAGGCTTAGGAACACGGCCGGCCCCATGACCTGGGGGCTAAGGGAAGCTGGATTCCACTCGATCAGGATCAGCCGTGGTAGGAGTCTCAGCCTGGGCAGCAGAAAAAGCACATGGGTGCATGTGTGTGCCCCAAATTCCTACAGGTTAGGGAAATGGAAGAGAAGGCATTGCAGAGTGAGCATGCCCCATGGGAGACTGTGTTCTCTCTCTGTCTCTCTGTCTCTCTCTGTTGAGCGTACCTGCCCTCTAGCAATTAAACAAGAGTGAAGGGCCAGCTGGTGGCGTAATGGTTAAGAACTGGATCCTGGGACCAGCAGAGGGCGTAATAGTTGCATCGATGGACTCTCATGTCGTCGACTGCGGTTCGAATCCCGGACCCGGCAGCTTAAACTCACGCCGGGGCGCATGTCCGTGTGTGCCCAATTTCCCAAGAGGAGAATGGAGGAGAAGGGATTGCGGCGTGGCCATCCCCCCTGGGGGGTGATTTCTCGCTTTCTGTCTGTCTCTGTCTTTTTGGCGAGTGCACATGCCCTATAGCAAAAACCTAAAAAAAAAAAAGAAAGAAAGAAAAAGAAAGAAAAGAAAAAAAACTTGTTTCTGTGGTCCCAAGAGGCCGAGGCTGGAGGATAAAGATAAGACCAGACTCTGCCTTAAGGGGACGAGAGGGATAACCTGTAACACACGAGCCGCAGGCCGGACCTGCGTGTGGACTTCCGAGCTCTCTCGCCCTGTCTAGGACCCAGGTTTCCTGGACAAGCAGGCGCGTTGCCTCTACCTGAAGGGGAAACTGAAACATCTCAAGAGCCAGATCCAGAAGTTTGACGACGGAGGAGACAGTGAGGGCTCCGTATACTTCTGAGCATCCTGGTGGACAGACAGATGCATGGGCCTCCCCACTTCTCTCCCTGCACCCCTTCCTGTTTTGAGCTTGTTTCCCTGGCCTGGACTAGCTTTTCCTGATGGCAAGTGCCTTATCCTTTTGGGCTCAGCTCGGATGGCCTCCTCCTCCAGGAAGCCTTCCCAGGGACTCCTAGAGTACCCTCAGCCCTGACCCCATGGGGATGTCAGATCTCAGCCCTGGAAACAAATCCTGTTCGTCCTCTCAGTGAAATAAACAGGAAGTAAACACCTACTGTGTGTGAATGTGGTTTTTTAGTTTTGTTTTTTTTAGAGAGAGATATTTTGCTATCGGGCATTTATGATCACCAGAGAGACAGAGAGGGAGAAAGCGAGAAATCATCCCCCTGGGGGGACAGTCAAGCCTCAATCCCTTCTCCTCCATTCTCCTCTTGGGATTTTGGACACACACACGCACGCACCCAGCGTGAGTTTCAAGCTGCCGGGTCTGGGACTCGAACCGCAGTCAGCCATGTGGGAGTCCAGTGATGTAATTCACCATCTACTGGTCCCAGTAAACACCTACTGTGTGCAGCAGCTTAACACTCCAAGTTTCACTGTGTAGTTACAAAAACAAATATGTTTCCAGGCTGGCCCTGCAGTTTAGTGGTTCATGGCGCCGGATCCCACACGGCTGACCATGGTTCTAATCCCAGCCCCGGTGGCTTGATAAACACACCAGGCTAGGCCAGCTCATGGTGGATCCCACATGAGCAGCTGTGAAGTTCAAACCCTGGACACAGCAGCTGTAAAACGGTGGGCATGTGTGTGTACGTGTGCCCCAAATCCGAGAATGGAGGAGAAGGGAATGTGATTTCGCACTCTGTACAGGGAGTGTGCACACTTTAGAGCAAGAACCTCTTAAAGAAGCGGTGGAGGGGGTGCTGATAGTGTGGCTTAAGGTGCTAGACTCCCACATGGCTGACTGCAGTTTGAGTCCTGGACCTGAAAGCTTGCATTCTCACTTTCCCTCTCTGTCTCTCTCTGGTCAAATTAAGTAATGATAAATTATGCTATTTTAAAAATAATCCTTTTTTTAAGAAATTAGAACAAGGGTTGGGACCAGCGGTTGGCGTAATAGCTATGTTGCTGGACTCCTATGTAGTTATTGTTTAATTTGACCAGAGACAGAAAAAGCAGGCCACCAGGTCTGGGCCTCGAACCACAGTGGGCCATGTGGGAATCCAGTACCTTTTTTTTTTTTGGAGAGGTTTTTGCTATAGGGCATGTGCGCTCGCCAGAAAGACAAAGAGACAGACAGAGAGACAGAAAGCGAGAAATCACCCCTCAAGGGGGATGGCCACACCACAATCCCTTCTCCTCCATTCTCCTCTCGGGATCTTGGGCATGCACACACATGCGCCCGGCGGGTCCGGGGCTTGAACCATGGTCAACTAATGGGAGACCAGCAATGTAACCATTACACCATCTGCTGATCCCCCCATGCCTGGCATTTCTCATCTTTTATTTATTTATTTATTTTATTTTATATTTTTAGAGGTTTTTGCTATAGGGCGCGTGCGCTCACCAGACAGAGAGATAGAAAGCGAGAAATCGCCGCCCAGAGAGGATGGCCAAACCGCAATCCCTTCTCCATTCCCCTCTCAGGATTTTGGGCACGCACACACACCCGGCATGAGTTTAAGCCACCGGGTCCGGGACGCGAACCGCGGTCAACTACGTGGGAGTCCAGAGACATAGCCATTACGCTAACTGCTGTTCCCTGCCTGGCATTTCTCAATGCTGCAGTGTTCAGGGCTGACACCATGGAGCCAGTCACATGAGATCCAATACCCTCAACTTCCACCCCATAGGCTGACCCTGTTTTTGTTTGTTATAGGAAGGGTATGCTCACCACAGAGACAGAAGAAAGTGAGAAATCACCGTCCAGGGGAGATGATCACACGCAGTCCCTTCCCCTCCATTCTCCATGTGAGATTTTGGGCACACACATACATACATATTTCCTAGTGTGTTTTCCAAACCAACAGGTCTGGGGCTTGAACCACACATTTGGGCATGTGGGATATACCTGCTTGAACTACCATGCCACCTGGCTGGTCTTGTTTTTGACTTTGTAGCATTTATTTATTTCTTGTTTCAAGCTGCCAGGTCCGGGACTCGAACCGCAACTGACCGTGTGGGAATCCAGTGGCTTAATCAACACACCATTTGCTGCTCCCTCTTTTGTTTAAGGTTTTTGCTGTGGGGTGTGTGTGCTCACTGGAGAAAAGACCATGAGAGGAAAAGCAAGAAATCACCCCAGGGGGGATGGCCACACTGCAAACCCTCCTCCGTTCTCCTGGTGTTGAGGGGCCTGGATTCGAACCTGGGTCAGCAGTGTGGGATCCAGCTCCCTTACCCACTAGACTATAGGGCTGGCCCTTGAATTAAACTTTAATCACCTTGGAAGAGATGATGAGGGTGGCCGTGCAGGTAGGAAACATCTTTATTATCGGCCTCGATTCATTTTTCATGTAGTGTCTGTCTCGGAGGATGCGTCCTGAGGGCCCGCCCGCCCTGACCCCTCTGCCTGGTTGTGGCTGTCCCTTGGGTCCAGACACCAGATTTGTCCATCCCGCCAGGAAAGCCAACCCTACTGTCCCATGACTTCATGCTCGGGACGCTGCCCCACGAGGCTGCCCCAGGATGGGACCTCTGACCCTCCTCCCTGCCACCTTGGCCTGGGGTTTGGGGCAGAACCAGGCTGGGACCTGGGCGATCCGTCTCTTTTTGGTTTCATGATCATTTAAAAAACAAACAAAAAATGACAAAACATCTCACAGTCTTTAAAAAATAGAAGTCTGAGGAAGATGCCGAGGTCCTCCGGCCAGGGGGCGGGGTGGTGGAAGCCCCAGCAGGTGGGTCTCACGCGGCGTGCAGACCCGTTCCACCGAGGCGCGCCCCGCTGCGCTGCAGTCACTGGCCGGAGCCGTAGGGCCAGTTAAAGGTGCTTCCCGACAGCAGCATGTCCCGGATGAGGGTCTCGATGGGCGTCTTGCCCACCAGGCGCATGAAGAAGAGCTGGGAGATGAGGGAGGCGGGGACAGCGCGCAGGGCCGGCAGCCGCAGCAGGCCGGAAGCGCTGCGGCTGGGACGGGTACTGGGCCCGCACGTACTCCGTGAGGGCCACCTGCGCCTTCTCCTGCAGGCTCTCCACGTGGGCCGGGTCCGAGAGGCCACAGGCATCTGGGAGGAGGAGGGGACGAGAATACAGGCAAGGTCAGACCGGGGGGATGGCGGAGAACCCAGGAGGGCCCACGGAGCGGGGAGGGCTGAGGCAGGGGCTTGCTGAGGGCTGAGGGCTGTGGATAAGGGCAGGGGCGCTCCAGGTGAGGCATGGGTCCTAGGCAAATAAACTGGGATATTGAAGGACCAGCAGTTGGCGTAATGGCCGTGTGGCTGGACTCCCATGTAGTCGACCACGGTTCGCATCCCGGCCCCGGGGGCTTAAACTCACGCCGGGCGCGTGTGCGTGCGTGCCCAAGATCCCGAGAGAAGGGATTATGGTGTGGCCATCCCTCCCTGGGGGGTGATTTCTCGCTTTCTGTCTCTCTGTCTCTCTCTCTGTCTAGCAAGCACACGCCCTATAGCAAAAACCTCTCCAAACACTGATGATGGTGGGGTGGAAAGAGCAGAGAAAAATTCTTCTGGGAAGATAAGGGGGGGTAAAGTCATATTTAGCAAATGAAAGCCATCTGCCAAGTGGTCGGGAGCATTTTAGCAGGAGAATGAATCCCCAAGGGACAGGCTGGGAAGACTTTTTTAGTTATAGGGAGTGTGGGCTAACCGGAGAGCTAGAAAGCAAGAAATCAGCCCCAGAAGGATGGCCACATGGCAATCCTCCACCCCTTAAGTCTCGTTCTGGAGATTTAGTGCATGCACACACACGTGCCAGGAGTGAGTTTTAAGCCTCTGGGTCTGGGACTCGAACCCAGTCTACTCCGTGGGAGTCCAGTGACGTAATCACTACGCCATCTGCTGGTCCCAGACAGGGGAAGCCTTTTATTTTTCTTTTTGAGAGGTTTTTGTTATAGGGTACGTGCTCTTGCCAGACAGACAGAGACAGAGAGACAGAGAGACAGAAAGCAAGAAATCACCCCCCAGGGGGGATGGCCACGCAGCAATCCCTTCTCCATTCTCCTCTCGGGATCTTGGGCACGCACATGCGCCCGGCATGAGTTTTAAGCCACCAGGTCCGGGACGCGAACCGCAGTCGACTACGTGGGAGTCCAGTGACATAGCCATTACACTAACTGCTGGTTCCCGAGACCGGGGAAGCCTTTTGTCCGAAGCTCAAAACGAGCTGCGCTACCTGTCGCTGGAATACGGTACCGCTTGCGCAGCAGACACAGGGTTACTAAGGAAGGTCTGGTACGCTCCTCCCCTCGGTGGGCGGGTCCTTCTAGCCACGCCCCTATCCCAATTGATGCGTCCCTAGCCACCTGTAGGTGGCCCTGGTCTGAGATCTGGGGGCACAAGGATTAGGAATGGGGAAGGGTTCATGGGGACCAGAACTGTGTGCCCCGCGTCCCCCAGTCTCATCCTGTCAGTGCTATTGAACACGAAGAGGGGGGTACGGGGCCCCAGGGAGCCTGAGAATTAGGGAGAATCTGGGGTGCCCCAGTTCAGAGTCGTTCGAATCAGAAAGTGGGGGGCATCAAGGTGCCACACTCCTCCACTGCCCCCCACCAGCGCTCATAACGCCACATCTGGGGAACTGGGAGGAATTGGGGTGGGGCGGCCTAGGGTGTGGGTCTCTCCCCCTTCACCCCCCCTGCGCGCCCCGGGATCCGTGCGCCCCGCATCTCACCCGGCGTGAAGAGCGCAATGGCCTTGAGGCAGCCGTACTCGGCCGAGTCCACCTGCAAGCGGCCCCCCTT